TGATGATGATACATGATGATGATACATGATGATGATACATGATAATGATGGTACGTGATGATACATGATGATAAAGATGAAGATGATGACACACGATGAAGATACATGATGATGATGTTACATAATAATGATGATACATGACAATGATGCATGATGATGATGATGATACATGAAGTTGATAATACAAGATGATGATGATGCATGATAACGACACGTGATGATGACGATGATGATGATGATGATACGGCATGATGATGTTACAGGATGATGATAATAATGTTTAATTCTTTTTCGGTCCATTTTCATCACAGGCCATTCATTCGTAAGGAAGTGGGTCTTGATGACGAGCCCTTCAACAGAAGGTGGTGATGAAGAAGAAGTAAGTCCAAAATAAAAAGTAATAATATTAATACTCTATGAGTTAGCACGAACTTGTTAACTCTATGCTCCCTATTTTCAGGCAGAGGAGGGTGTAGAAGGTGGCAAATCGAAGAGCAAGTCTGCAGTGGGTGGATCACCGGCGGTAAGAATTTTCTTAGAGATTTCTTCAGGGACGGTGGAGCTCTTTTCAAAGTGGGGAGGTGGTTAAAGTTGGTTTTTAGAGTAGCGCTAGGGGACTAAATTATATCTGGKTTTTTTTTGTTTTTGTTTTCTTCTAAAAGCCCACTCCGGCTCTGCCATCCTGTGAGGTATACGTCACTAACATGATCTTCRAATGGCTCTCATAGAAGTATTGTGATTGGCTAGTCTGCATTTTCTTGCTTCGCATTTGATTGGCTATTAGGGGAAACACATAATGTTACTATACTTCAATCCTTTCCTTATTTCCTTCCTTTCTTCCCTTCCCTTCCTTTTAACGTATTTCTAATATTTCTTTGCGTCTTTTTAAGGGTTATCTGAAAGTCACAGCCATGGTTCTAGGGCCTGGTGACGAGCCACCAGTAAGTATTAATCAAAATTCTTGCCCTGACTTTTTTAATGGTCGTCAATCCCTGATTGTTTTGACTTGGTTGTGCTTTAGGCCAAGGCAAAAGCAGCACCCAAAGATGACGAAGAGGATGACATTGAGGCGTAAGTAGATAGAAAATACAATAAAAAGACCTCTTAACCTTTGACGTAGTGTTTTTCCCCATTTCATTCCATGTGTCATTTCCTAGAGTATAATTTCTTTGTTTAACGGTTATGCATTAGAAGACACATGAATGTAGATACCAAACAAAAGGAATCTTATCAAGGGAATGGCACATGGTCTGAAATTAGACAATATTACGCCCAATACCCCGACCTCTTTGTTCACGCAACAGAAGCGCAGAAGATCGTACGATACGAAATGTTTACGAACAGTTTTCCATACTATTGCTTTTCCAGAAATTGTCTGATGCCCATGGGTGTGTCCCGCCAGCCTGCAGTGTTCGGTGTTAAGATATACCAAGCTGAAGACATCCCACAAAGTATGTCAAATAACTAGAGAATGATTATCATTAACGTATAGGAACAAAACTGGCATGGCAAGGTAGGGGGATGATTACTCCTACCAACACCACTGAAGAGAACACAGTTGATGTGTGGATTAATGGATGATAATCATACATGATGATGGTGATAATACGTGTTGTTAATAAATGATGATGATGATGATGATGAATGGTGATGTTGCAGGATGGTGATGAATGGTGACGATGATCCATGATAATGATGATACATCATTAAGATGATGATAGGTGATGTTGCATGATGATGATGGTGATGATGATGAATAGTGATGATGATCCATGATGATGATGCTGCATCAGGAAGATGATGAATGGTGATGTTGCATGATGATGATGAATGGTGATGATGATGATGATGGTGATGATGATGAATGGTGATGATGATCCATGATGATGATTTTGCCTCTTGAATATGATGAATGCTGATGATGCTGCATGATGATGATGATGAATGATGTTGCATGATGATGATGAATGGTGATGATGATGAATGGTGATGATGATGAATGGTGATGATGATCCATTATGATGATGCTGCATCATGAAGATGATGAATGGTGATGATGATGATGATGATGAATGGTGATGATCCGATCCATGATGATGATGTCCCACGATGATGATGATGATGCATGATGATGATACACGATGATAATGCGCGATGATGATACATAATGATGATGATGACGACGACTATGATGGTGGTGATAGAATAGTTCTGATGCACTATTTTACACTTATAGTGGACTCTGGTATGGGAAGAAGCGTTAAGAAATTCTTCAAAGGACTTTTTGGAGGTGGAAAGGTACTTACTACTTATTGACTAATCTCTATAATCAAGCATGCACAATATTAGAGAAACCAAAAGAAACCAAGTGTCTTATGTGATTATATTTCGATTTGTTTCTCCAGAAAGAAGAAGAAGAGGGATCAAAGAGTCTGGTCGATCCCTACATAAAAGTAAACTTTTGTGGAAAAGAGGTAATTTGTTTACTTGAATTAATAGATGCAAAGCATTGTGGCTTTGTTGCAGGGCTCAAATTCATTTGATGATGTTAGTAAACTTCGACATCACATTAGTTGTTGCTGCTAATATTTGTGTTTTTGTGTTTTCTTTTTCTTTTTCAGATCGAAACGGAAATCAAATACCAGGACGACCATCCCRAATTTAAACAACAGTTGAAAATCCCGTTAATGGTAAGGAAACGCTACGTCATATCAGATCACGTGATATCAAATAAGGCCATGTGATTCCACTTTCTACGTCACGTCTTTACTAATTGACTGTTTTGTTTTCAGTTCCCGTCCATGTGTGAGCGACTCAAGCTGCAGATGTATGACTGGTATGTTGAGGATTTTTTATCAATAGATGGTCGAGTCTTTAATACGATTATGTATTCATTCCATTTACTATGGTTTCTTTCTTCAGGGATAGAGTGGGTAACGATGATTGTATTGGCACGGCTTTCCTGTCATTGTCTGCTATCTCAGGACAAGGCGACGAAGGTAATGAGGACTTACTTTCCTCCTTACCACCAATAGACCCTCTCTGCTCAGGCGCAATGTTTTCCCATTTCATACCACTTGTCATTCCCTTGAGTWTTATTTTTTGTTTAACGGTTGCGCATCAGAAGACACATGGATTTGGATACAACTCAAACGAAGAATCTTATTCTCAAGAGAATGAAACGTGGTCTGAAATGGGAAAATAATATGCGTTTGTGGATCGGTTCCATTCTGGCATCCGGCCATTAACAAGGCCTTACCTTTTTCCTGTCCATCAATTGATATTATTATTTCGTCATATCTTGGTTGGCACATTCAGATTATTTCATCACTTGGGTTTTCAGGTTTTGCGCCAATGTTTGGGCCGTGTTTCATCAATTTTTATGGTTCTCCTCGAGAATTCAGCGAACTGCCTGACGAGAATGAAGCACTGAACAAAGGAATTGTGAGTTAATATTTTTTTGGATGTGTGGTACAGTGCGTGTACTTCTTAATATTGTATAGTGGTATGAGGTGTTTTATGGAGTGTTTGGTTGTGACCATGGTGTATCGTGTGACCATGGTATGTTGCGGTAGTGTATTGTAGATTGTATTTTAATAGTAGTTTGTGCGGGTGTGGTTTAATAGCGTAGGTTTTGTTTTCCTGCCTGGTAGGGTGTGCTGTGGTTGACGTGGTATAGTTTGTAAGTAGTGTAGAGTACTATTGTGCGTGATATGTGATATTGTGATATATTGTAAGTGAAAGTGTATGTACTTGTATAATGATGTCATAACGAGGCCATTCCCATGTAGCGAATTGATCTCTTTCATCGGCAGTAATTATCAGTCGTCTGTTCTCGTCATTCAACAGTAGCTTTCTATCTTCTACAGGGAGAGGGCGTGGCATATCGTGGTCGCGTGCTAGTGGAGCTCGACACTGCACTAGGAACCGACGAAATAGAAAACGAAGTGTCGACTATCGAGAATGAAGATGTGATCCGTGTACAGGTAATTCAATTGTTAAGGAATACTTATGATACATTATTAATGGCTAAGTTATCCTTTTTTGGCCTTATATTTTAGCCTTGCTTGAGCCTCCCAGATGCAGGCCTTGCTATTAATATCCATATACTACCCTTATATTCTAGCCTTACTTGAGACGCGAGAAGTACAAATTGTTTGCCTGTTTTTATGATGCAACAATGGTCAAGGACGTAGACGGACCTGTCGAGTTTGAAGTCAGCATTGGTAAGCAGCAACTACACTGACAAATACCGTGCATTTTTAGACTGCCGATCCGCGCCTCCTTTGCAAAACTCTCCTAAGGAATTAAGAGGGGGGAGGGGGTAAGACATGATCAATACAAGAGCTGTCTAGAATTGACTTCTTAACCTTTGCTCATGCGCAATGAATTCATCAGCTAAAGCACTTGAATGCAAAACTACGCAGAAAACCCTTGTTCCCACCAACATTACTGCCACGTGACACAACGCACCCAGCTTATTGGATATCGCGACACGTGACCTACGTTTCCTTTTTTAAAGGTAACTATGGTAACAAGATGGACGACTCAGTTGCGCCTGCTAACACAGCACCGTCGAACCCTATCTTCGATGGTTGCCACTATCACTACCTCCCCTGGGGAAGTGAGAAGCCGTGCGTGTGTGTGGAAAGCTTTTGGGAAGATATCGCATTCAGGTTGGAGCCACTGAATCTCCTGAACAAGCTGTGTAATCGACTGGTAACGTATTTAGATACTTGAGGCTCATGTCAAACGTCGAACCTCTCATGAGCCGAACCTAATACCATCAAAGACGACCGCCTTTTTATCAATTGTTTCAATTAGGTTCGGTTCGACGTTTGACCTGAGCCTAAGTTATCCCTTAATTTACCAACAGTAGATTAAAGATCGAAACCCGAGATTAATGTTGGGAAGAGCTGGTTTTGTTCTGTGCTTCATAGGATTTTCCCCAGGGTTTCAGGTTCCCCCCCCCCCCACCTCCTTTCTCTCCGTAAAGATCACCTGACATTTCTAAACTTCATCGGGACGTTGCTAATGAATTTGTCTTAAATATTCTTAGTTTTAAGAGTTTATTTTGTTTAAATGGAAAATGGATTCTCCTAGTTTCTCGCTAACGTCTATAGCGTTAGCACCTTTTTGTCGAGGCGTTAATGAAAAAAGGCAAGGGTATATAGAATCCTTTCTTTTTGCTTCGTGAAATAATACTTGATATCCTTTCCTCATTTATAGGGAATGACATTGACTCTTATAAAGGAAGCATTAGATGCACCAACACCACCCGATGACATGGCTTTCGTTGCCATGGTCACGTCACTGCTTGATCACCTGATTTCTGATTGCATGTAAGTTATTGTCACTTGTGGATCTCCTTTTTTTGCTTTGTTTTTGACTTGACTTCGTATTCTTTACAGGAAAGAACAAGACAGGTTTGATAATGAGATTCTAAAGCTTCCTGGACATCGCAACAAACTGGACAACAAGATTGAGAAATTGAGGACTGAGGAACTGGTATGAAGAAGAAGCGTTTGTCTATTTCTCTGCATCTGCCTGCCTGCTTGTGTGTCAGCTTGTCTGTCTGTTTGCCATCCTGCCTCCCTACCTCTTCTCCTCCCTGTTTCCCTTCCTTCCCTGCCTACCTCATTGCCTGATTCTGCCTGTCTGTTTTGTTGCTCTGTCTGTCTGTCTGTCCGCTTGCCTGCCTTTCTGCTCGACTATTTTCAGGGTGCATGTTACGTCATAGCCGCCATGTTGGTTGACGATAACAAAGCATTCCTCATTGACTTCTCTTGTTAGAACAACCAACATGGCGGCTGTTTCATTGTTATTCCTATCTCAAAGGATTTTGAGTCATGTGGTTGCACCCCAAGAATTGTGAGGAAAGCTTCACACATTTGCTATGCCTTCTTATACTATTTATTATCATCTCTAACAGAAACTGATAGCGATAGAAGCCACAGAACTGAAGCACAGCCTGGAGGCTCCGGAAGCCGAGGTCAATGTAGCAGAGACAGTCGGAGAACTGGATGGGTACTTACAGCGGCTACAAGATCTGGCCATTGAGGTGAGATTACTAGAAGAAAGACAGGATGGATCTATCTAATTTATCTCGGCATTAATATTTTCCCATTTTAGAACACGTTTCATTTCCTTAAATAAGATTCTTTTTTTAAGTTATATCCATAATCATGTGTCTTGACATGCGAAAGGAAATGATACTCTAGGGAATGACGCGTGGTCTAAAATGGGAAACGGTGGATTAGGTCTGTTAGACCTTTTAGGGTCCACAACTAAAAGTGAAGGATTTGTCAGAAAATGGGAATAGTTGAATATCAAGACTGGTCAAGGCAAAGGTGTTGCATTTAGGATTCAGTTCTGAGTGTTATTATTGAGACCTTTGGCTTGCATTTTCGAAACAAAATTTTATAAAGGTGTTAGTTATCATATGCTTTTTGGTATAAACTGAGTACAATTCGAATAAATTATGTTCAAATGAGACCCATTTTAGCCAGAACTAGTACCTTAATGAAAGTCATCCCTTCTCGCCACTACCTTAGTCCTCGTCGAACATTCCTCGAGGGAATCTTATCCTACGCTTTAGGAATGGACGTAGAAATGGTCATTAATGTTTTTGTTGAACTTGCCATTACAGCCGCAGAATGCAATACCAGACGTGATCATTTGGATGATAAGTGGATCAGAGAGGATTGCTTACTACAGGATACCTGCTTATGAAGTAATGTACTTTGCCAACCCTGATGCTTGTGGAAATCTGTGTGGTAAGCCGGTAGAGATCAAACTGAAGGTGAGAAGTGTGGAATATTGTCATCATGATCATGGATCAGCATCATCATCGTGCATCATCACTATCATCATCATCATCATCATTATGTATCATCATCTTCATCATGTACCATCATCATGTATCATCTTCGTTAGAGTCATCTCCATCATCGTTATCATGCATTATCATCATCATCAACCACTGTTGTTATGTATCATCATCAATGTTCATGTATCATCAATGTTCATGTATCATCAATGTTCATGTATCATCATGCACCATCATCATGCATCATCATCATGTATCATTATCAACATCATGTGTCATCATCATCATTACCATATATAATGCACATAGCTAGATCATCTGTGTTATCAATACCACGGTGTTTTGCAATAACCATCAAATGTCTGTTTCAGTATCCTGGCAAGAAGGCGAACAATCTGAAAGATCATCCAGAAATCCCTGCACTAGTCCGTGTTGAGATTTGGCTTGGGCTGGAGAAAGACCAAGACAACTGGACTACAAGAGGAAAGAGCGAAGGAGAATTTGTTGTTTATGCTGAAACTGTAAGTGTGGAATAACAACAGTGACAACAACAACAACAGCAACAGCAACAGCAACAATAATAACGAAAGTCGTAACAATAGTAATACATAAGTATTAACAACATCAATGACAACACGATCAACAGAAAAGAAAACAACCAACGATAACAGCGGAGCAGGAACAGCAACAGTACATCAAAAATAAAACAAAACAATAACTGGAACAGGAACAAATAAGTATTAGCAACGAACCAACACCAATCGTGATATCAATAAGACCAGCACTTTGAATTTCACGTGCGTGGGAGATAAGAGAGCAAAACGAATCTGCAATTTGATTTTATGGCATTCTGGACAAGRATATTGATTCTTGAAATTGTTCATTTTTTGTATATTTCTTTTCTATCTTTTGAAAGTCTGATAAATTGCTTAATTTTAAATTTAGTACGAGAATGAGATGAAGATTGGTCCCAAATGGTTTAAGAAGGGATGTCCTCGTCCGGGGTTCTCTAGTGCTGATGGTGAACTTGAACTAAAGCCTGACAAGTTTATTGAACCTGAAGGATGGAACTTCTTGGGAGAATGGGAAAAGAAGCCTGAATTGAGGTACACTTGATGAATGGTTGATGATGATACATAATGATTATGATAATCATGATGATGAAACATGGTGATGGTGATGGTGATGGTGATTATGATGATGATACACGATGATCATGATTATAACACATGATTATGATAACAACGACAATTGTTGATGATAATGATGATGATGATGATGTTGATGATACATGATAGTAATGATGATGATGATGATGATGATAAATGGTTATGGTGATACTACATGGTGATGAATTAATAAATACATAATAACCATCATTATCTCGCTTGTTTTGTCCTGTAGTCTAATGTTTGACCAAGATGCTGGTCGAAAGACATACGTAGAAGAACTGTACGAGCAAGAAGACAGGAACTTCCCGGGGGGTGCATGGAAAGCAGCCAAAGTACCATGGACAGACGCGGTAAGTCACGCCATCTTCAAATCTCCCTTTGTGTCACGCACAAAACACTTTGGAATCCAAGGATAGTTAATAACCAAAGCTTTCGGCTTGACCGATGGCCAATCATCAGGGTACAATGGACTTTACCAGAGAAAAGAGTTATTATACATTAATACTTCGGTAATTTTGCTGAAGATGTTCGATTAATGTCAACAGAGTGGTGACGAAGCTCCGTCCAAAAACGATGTCCAGTGTCCCCCAGGATGGGACTGGGTAACGCAATGGCAAGTAGACGCCAACCGAGCCGTGGATAGCGACGGTTGGGAGTACACGGTTGATCTTTCTTATGGAGTATACAGTCCTGTGCCAAAAGCTTATTATCTGAGTAGAAGGAGACGATGGGTGAGAAAGAGAAACCTCAAAAATCCGGAGAGTTCCAAGAAACAGGTAATGCTGAAAAAATGGATGTGAAAGTCATTTTATGGGAAGCAATTGGTTAAACCGCTACCGTCAGAAAAACCCTCTTTAATCAGCTTCCTTCGTTTCCAGGCTCATTTCCAGAAGCTCCTTCAGGAAGGATGGGAATACGCTCCTGTTTTTAAAATGAAGTTCCACGCGAAGGAGAGAAAGATGGACTTCGTGAGAAGAAGGAGGTTGATGAGGAAACTTGTTCCTGAGGGAGGCGCAAAGCTCGACCCAAAGAGGACCAAGCTACCTCCTTTGTTACGTGTGCAGCTGAAAAGCGATGTATGTTATGTAATAGTCATTGTATTTTATATGACAATTATTTTCAATGATATAGTAAACCCCTTCATATGGCTGCCATTTTCTCTAGTGACACAGGACGTCCACTAAATTGCATTTGCATGTTGTGTTATGTCTCTAGGAAGCCGAAAGTGCTTTGGTGCTCTCTCCTCGAATGTTCGTCTCGTTTCCAAGTAAGCTGGTCAAAATTTTATTCTTGAAAAGTAAAAGTTATAGTTACTAAATCAGTACCGGGTCATACCATGCAAGGTCGTCCCATGCCATGCCGTACCGGTTCATACCCTGCGGAGTCGCACCGTACCGGGCCGAGCAGTGCCGTGAGAGGACTGCTGCCACCTACTTGAAGGGATAAGCATAAATCTATCGCGCTGCGCTCTCATTGGCTCATTCCCGTACCGTGACTGTAGCACATATTGCTAATCATGTTGGCCTACATAATGTGATTGCTGATGTATTTATCTTTCAGAACCTCATAAGTTCCAGTTATGGGCTTACATCTACCAAGCACGTGACCTGCCTGCCAGTGACGAGACAGGAATGAATGGTAAGTAGTGGTAGTGTCAGTCCCTGGCAAAGAAGGGCTATCAATGCTCTTTTTCATGTTTGTGGGATTAAACAGCTTACCATCGAGGGAGTGATCAAAGCGCCAAACAAAACTTTTTGAACTAAAATTTGAACAATGCCCAAGAAGTCAAGACAACACATTTCATAAATACCCAAGAAGTCAAGACAACGTACATATCATAATAAAAGCATTTTCGAAGATTAACTTTCAGGTTTTGGCACTTTAGGTCTGCGCGCACAATTCTTGGACGAGCGTCATGTGGTTTCAAAATAATACCGACTATATTTATTAATTACTGACTTTTTTTGAAAATACAGATCCTTACGTACGTGTGGCTTTCGCAAACCAGAGTCAGGTGACTGAGACGAGGATGAAGACATTGTGTCCAACGTGGGATCAAACTCTCATCTTCAACGTGCAGATCTACGACAGCCTCGAGAACATCCAGAGACACCCGCCATCTGTTATCATGGAGCTGTTCGATAAAGACCAAGTGGTATGCAGTGTTATTGTGTAAAAATACCTGTTTGTTTATATTCGTTTCTTTAAAGTTAGTCTTCAAAGCTTGCAAGTTTTGAGTCTCCTTCGCAGCCGCTATTAGTTTCGTCACGCAACGCTTCCTCCTCCTTCCTTCCTATAGCGGCTGCGTAGGAGACTAGTTTTGAGAACGCTGAGGGTCACCGTGTGAAAACATTTACTATCTGCAACACTTAAAGACTTCAGCGGATACAAATCGCAAGCAGTTGAAAAATGTAAAATGTAACTAACTTCATTGAAATGGGTATATATTATGACAGACCTATTGAATTGTGACCTGGCTGATGTAGAGCAGCATTTACTTGAAAGGCCTGGTTACATTTCAATATGGCTGCCATTTGAGTGCTTTTCATAAAAAACAAACATGAAAAGGGCTCGAATTGCATAAAAAGTCTAAAGCACAAGAATATAAATACACTTTAACACATGCACTGTAAACAAGTGATAAAGATCTCTTCCACTGAGTTCCGAGAGGAATCGTTCTGGGGGACAAAACAATACATTTTTTTGCATAAAAAATGACTGCCAATGCGTTTTGTCCCCCAGAACACAATTCCTCTAGGAGATCGATGCAAGAGGTTTATGCAATACTCACCATCATAAGTCTACAATGCACATACCACAGTTAAGCACATTAGAGTACACTAAGTTGCCCGCGTAGAATAACGTACGACGTTAGGAAAAACGTGAAAATGCTTTTGTATAGTCAGACCTAGATTCCTGGACAGTGATTGGCGATATTACACGCTGTTTTATTACACTAAACTGGCTTCCATATTCAAGCTTGACAGTGATTGGCTGATTTACGCGCTGTTTTATTACACTAAACTGGCTTCTATATTCAAGCTTGACAGCGATTGGCTGGTTTGCATTTCAGCGTGTTTCGATAATGGTTACACTGACCTGAGTTCCATATTCAAGCTTTGACAATGATTGGTGGGTTTGCTGGTTTCCCTATTATCTTAAGTACTTTCCAACAGAAAAAGTATTTTTGAATATTTTTCCAACATTTTTTTTATGATGGTTACAAATGTTATCAATTCATTGAGGCATTCAGTTTAACAATTGCTTAACGTAGATCCAATTATAGAGGCCACTTCTCAATGATTCATCTTACAATATTAGAATGCAACAATCTTTGAAATTACCAGAAGTCCATTTATGAACTTCTGTACTTACTCTTTACGTAATTCATTTAAGAATATTTCTACGCGTGCGCTAAGAAATTGGTATAACAAATTTTGAGTAACCATTTGTTTGAAACCACAGGTAACCCATTTATTCATTCTCTCCTCGAGATAAAGGGAGACACGTTTTGATTCGTTTTAACTCGTTGATGGTTTTGTTTGTCTTCAACCAGGCTCAGCAACAACTGGGAAACCTCAACATGAAATGTCTGGTGCGAAAAAAAGATTTGATTCAAATTTTAGTCATTTTCGAGGCTTCTTTTAACTGATTTAACTAAACTTTTTAACCAGAGATTTTTTAATATCAAATATGACGTCAAATTAATTYTAATACGTCAAAATCAAATATGACGTCATATACATTCTAATATGTCATCGTGTTCATAGCATTTTCATAGCTTTCAAGGCTGTTAAATACGTTACTTAATGAGATTCTGAAAACGAAATATTAACTAATTATTAATCTTTAATTATTATTATTATTATTATTATTAGATAATCTAAGCTAACTTTAATAAAACAGCACACTAACCTACTGAGCACTCTAACCAAACCACCTACTAACACCACGGTTAGCACTAATCTAGTTTACCTTTCAGGCCTCGTATTGT